TGTGCTTTCCATAATGCTTTGAATGTCACCAGAAGCAAGGGAGAGGGCCATTGGCATAAATGTCAGAGAAAGTTTTAGCAGATCAGCAGGACAGATGACGTCCAAGATCCGGTCACCCTCGAGTGACCACAGCAAGCAGGACTGATGCATCAGACTGGTCCATCCGAAAGATTGTTTTAGATCTGCCACCTGTACTGCTTCTGAATCTGCTAGCAGACACAATGCCTGTATCAGTGACAGGACAGCGAGGCTCCATGCTGCTGGCCTTAGAGCAAGACAACCTGTCAGAGGCCCTCTGCTCACACCTCTTAGACATCACGCCCAACTGGCTTGGGCCAGACAGAGGCTCGTCAGCAGTGGCATCAGGTCCTCTTCAAAGATGAGTCACTCTTCAGCCTGTTCCACGTAGACGGGAGGCCCAGAGTGTGGAGGAGGAAGTGTTGCGTTTCTTTACTTACATCAGTATATTTTTGACTGTTTTGACATTTTGTCACCTTTTTCTACAGATGCTGGCTCACAAGTCTGGAAACATTATAAACATGTCTTCTGTTGCATCCAGTATAAAAGGTAATTTTCTGAATTCATGGTGGCACAGTAGTTAGCATTGCTGTCTTGCAGCTCTGGGGCCCTGGGTTCAATTTCAGACCTGGAGTGCTGTCTGTTTGGAGTTTGTACTGTATGTTCAGTGTTCACATTGATTTTTCATCATGTTCTCTGGTTTCCTCCCTTGTTTTTTGAGAAAATTGTCCCTGGTGTGAGTGTGTGTGTCTGCTCCGAGATGGACTAGAGTCCCATCCAGGGTGTATCATGCCGTGCGCCCCTTGCTTGACAGGATAGGCTCTTAATCCAGTTGAAGATACAATTACTCTCTTTCTCTGATGAAAAATCAACTCCACCCCTGCCTGCAACTGTGTAGGTGAAAAACAGGCACCGTTCCACATTGTAAACCACTGGCCAAAGCAGAAGATGTCCCATGGTTTCTTAAACAACCACCCGACACCTCGCAAAGCCCCTTAAGTGTTTTCAAAACCTATATACCACATACCACCATACCTTTGCATATCTAATCACCATGATTAGATACGATGGAAAAAGTATAAAGACGCAGCACAGGTCTTCACGCAATGTCTTGGAGTCTTACAGTGGATATAAAAAGTCTACACACCCTTATTGAAATTCCAGGTTTTTGTGATGTAAAGCCAGAAATCAAGATAAATCATGTCAGACATTTTTCCATCTTTAATGTGACCTTGCAACCAACACAATTCAAGAAAAAAACAAATAGATAATTATTAGGAAAAATAATTGAAATTAAAAAACTTTCAACACCCTGTTTGCATAAGTGTGCACCCCTCCCCCCCCAACTAATACTTTGTGAAAGCACCTTGTGGAAGCATTTATTACAGCAGTACGTGTTTGTGAATAAATCTCTATCAACTTTGTGTGTAAAGGCTTTCATCTTAAAGTTAATTTGGGAAGGTTCAGGATCATTTAATGAAACTGTACCCTGATCGTTTTTGTAGCCAGACAGATTTGTCAATGACATTTATGACTAATCATGGAAACCAAAAGCTTCTCTGTATGAAAACCAATACATATATGATCAAACATTCCATTTTAGTTCTTAAGTAACAAACTGAATATAATTTGTAGCTGTGTTTTGCTGCATTGCTACTACCTTAACATAAGGTGTCTCATTTTTTTTCTATTCTTTTTTTTCTTCTTACAGGAGTTGTGAACAGGTGTGTTTACAGCACTTCAAAGGCTGCGGTTATTGGGCTTACCAAATCAGTGGCAGCTGACTTTATCGAGCAAGGGATACGATGCAACTGTATTTGCCCAGGTAACTGTGTAGCAGACTTTTAACAGTTTCCCACACTTATTAATGAAAATCACCAAATCATTTTTGTGCTGAAATTTTGTTGAGGAGATGATATTTTATGAAATTAAAATACGTAAATTGTTATGCTGAATATCATTTGTCAGAGATTGTGGAACAACAGAGGATGTCCTGTGAATGTCACAGGCTAGTGGTGTGTGTGCTGACCAATAGAAGCAATACAGACTGTACATGCGAGGTGCATGCATTGTATCAAGTTGCAGAAGCTATTCTGGGAGTTCTGTTCATTGGTCTCTGGAAGTCATTGCATTCCATTCTGTTTAATAGCCGATCTGTCCCAATCTCATCTTTCAAGACAGCTGTCATTGCATGAACAATTTGAGCACGGGTGTTATCCTGATGGAGTATAATCACATCAGAATAAGCCCTTGGGAAGTACAAAAGTTGGGCTGAAGGTTTTGGTCAGTGTATCAGCATGCTGTTAGACTGCTATCGATCACTGCAAGTGGAGTTCTATAGCAGCTATGCATATAAGTGCTTTAACAAAAGGTGTAAAAGGTAGCCTGAAAATATAAAGTATTGTATGTGTCATTACTGTGTTTGAACTGTGGTATATTTATTGCTTAATTTTAGGAACTGTAGACACACCTTCATTGAGAGAAAGAATCCAGGCCAGACCTGATCCTGAACAGGTATTTCTTATTTCGAATATCATTGTCTCTCTTGCACGCACTAGTATGTTTTGGTGTGTTGAGTCCCAGAGTTAGGAGACACAGAGCTACAGGGCTAAAAGCTTTCTGATAAAACAGTTATATTAGACTCTATGTAGCATTTCTTCAATAAGATTGGACCCGTGTTGTATGACTTGGAAGGACAGCAGACCATTTTTTGGTTCAGTTGCCATAGGAAGGTCAAACTATAGGTCTATTTCTAAGGATTACAATTAATTTGCATGTGTTAATATATGAATTATATAAATATATTAAAAATGTAAGTGTTCCACTTGGTCTAATTTTAAAACCATCCTTGCTACCTGCATTTAAAGCTGTTATTACAATTTAAAATGTCTGTTTTTCAATTAAATAACACATATGACATTAATGAAACAACCTCAAATATTCTTCTAATCATAAGACAGTTAAACCAATTGTCATAACAGTAGTAATAACAATAATTTAAAGGGGAACTGCAATTCTATTTTTATATTACAGGCCTAGAAAGAATCAGCATTGATGAGTGCATTTCAAACCTCAATAAAAATACAATATACTTGTAAAGCCTCTAATTTATATCACAAAATAGCCAAACTTTCCAGGTTTGCACAGTGCCATGTTCTGTGATTCAAAATGAGGCGACAAAACTTCCAGTTTATTACATTGTAAAGAAGCAGGCTTGTGAATACATGTGTTTGAATCCAATAGAAATATTGCTCCTGATTTCAAGGTGGTTTTGCCGACAATACTACTTACTTGTTAACTCTGCATGCAGAACACATTGGAATGTTTCTGCAGTGAAATGTCTACTGCACAACCTGTACTTCCTTGCTCTTACATCACATACATTATTCATTACACTGACTAGTGAGCAGGAAGGGCTGCATCACATCGCAATTCGTGCAAACTCTCACTCTCACCCAATGGCGAACCCAGGGGTTTGCAGCAACATGGAGACTATACAATTATTTCACAAAGTTCATGATTTTGTGCTAAATTTATGATTTGTAATTTTTTCTATGCTCTCAATGAATGTATTTTGTTACCGAGACTTAATGACCAGCCTGAGAAATTGGGATTGCTGTTCCCCCTCAAATGCTCTTCTTAATCGCTGTAGGACTGCAAAAAATACATAAATAATGGGATCACAGAGCTAATCCAATTTTGGCCCTTGGGTAATCCCACAGGTTTATTAAATTTTCAAGGTACCTTTAGTAGCCAGAAGCATCAATAAAATCAAATGTCAAGGAACCATGTAATTGCAAAGCAGTGTCTAAAGATTATCTCCTGGTTCAAATAGTCCTTCCTTTACACTAGCTGTGTTAGGTGTGGTGCACTGTGCAGTTAAAATTGATAGCAGTTTTATCAGCCTGTAGCCTGATCTCAACAGACCTCAGAAGCAAAACAGGTCTATTTCTGGTCAGTTTTTGGATAGGAGACCTCTAAAAAAAGCCAGGCTGATACTGCGAGTGGTGTTGGTGGACCAGTAGATGGCACTCCTAGACTAAACTTTCCGAACCAGTGCTCTACTGTGATGACCTGGGACTCCGTGTTGTAGGAGGTGCAATCCATTGGATGAGATGCTGAAGTCCTGACTACTTGTTCACTACATAATCCCATGGAATATTTTCGGAGTAGGGGTGTTACCTCAGTGTCCTGATTAAAGTCCAATTTGGCTTTGCGCAGTTTACGCTACTCAGTTTATGACTCCTTAATCCAGTCGGTGAAGTAACCCCTTGTTTCTTCACCTGATCTGATCTGGAGTGGAGGTGCTGGAACATAATTGCTCCTGCACATCAGCCAGGTGAGACATTTGCTATATAAATTCATGGAATTATTACTACTGTAAGTATAAATTATATTAGTTATAAACACTGATCAAAGTTTTCTTAAGTCCTGTTAGACTGTAATGGAATTGTTTTCTAGTTAAAGGTATGTGAATTTTCTTCCGTGACTGTGGTGAGAAAAAGGATGAGAAAAAGTTGGTTGGAAAGTTTGTGTTGTAAAAACAAAAAGGCAACCGGGTGGCATTACTTCAGTTATTTTAGTTCTGAGTGCCTGGGTTTGTCCTGACGTCAAATGGGGTTAGTAACCTTAGTTTGGTTTATGAACTAATTTCCACATTGCCAAAATCAACAGTTATTTTCTTCAAGAGTCTTTTCAGGCTAGACATGAAAAAAGGGGCATTACTGGCATATAGATTCCATTTTTTAGCTGATTTGTTTTTGTTTTTAAGGCATTAAAAGACTTCCTTGCTAGACAGAAAATGGGCAGAATGTGCACTGCAGAAGAAGTGGCCCAACTGTGTGTATACCTGGCCTCTGATGAAGTAAGTTCTGTGGTCTGCTCAAGGAGGATGTGGAAATAGTTGTCCAAAAAAAGGGTGTGGAATTACCCATTTATAAGAGTTACAGTACAGTTACAGTATGAAGGGGTGTGACACTTCAGAGAATGAAATGACAGGGACTGTAATTTAATGTTTAATTTTCAGTTTTATGCTGTCTTTGATAACACTATCATAAGGGACCCTGGAAAACACAAAGGGTTGTGCCAGGAGTGATATTTTTTTAAGATGATGCAGTTTAAAATGACCTGTAGTGCTTGAAGTTCTAATTCTTCCTTTAGTAGTAGTTATTTTCATAGGAATATCTTCATCTAGACCTAAACAATAAGTTGACATTAAGTGATCAGATAATTCAACTAGGTTAAAAAACATAATACACAAATAACACAAAAGTTGTACTTTTCTTAAAGTTACAAAAGGCAGAAACAGTTTTTCTCCTTTAGTGGAAAAGAATTGAAAGTGTAAATGTTTTATATATAGTGTGTGCCTTTTTTGTTTTGCTACACAGAAAATTAAATCATGACTTCCTCCTCATTAGCTTCAATCTAGTTGAGACTATCTTTCAGTTTGTTTATTTCACCTTTCTTATTTATTTTCTATCAGATAGAAATTATTTATTGTCAAGAAAAAAATATTTGTTAAGTTTGCATTTCGTATAAACTATTTACACTCTGCTAAGGTTACTAGTGTTACCTGTGTTGTATCTAGGCAATCAAAGCTAAAACACCAACAGGTGTGATAAAGCAGTTCATGGCTTGATTGTTTTTGTCACATATAAAACACATGCATTATATAAAAGAGACATAAAACTAAAATATTCAATAGTATTACAGTCATAGATTTAAAAATCAAACATGGACTTACTGTAAAGTGCCCAGTGTAATTTAATCGAAAAGAGCTTTATTTTATTATTCTATTTACTGTATATGTTTTACTTTTTTGGCAGTTTTCCACTGATGGTAATATTCAATAGAATAGGAAGATTCCAGTAGTCTGGTACTAATTATATCTTATATGTTATACATAGTGGAAACTCATTAATTTCTCAAGATATTAATATAAGCATATATTATGACTGTAATATCACTGTATCATGTGAGTACATAAAGTAATTTTGATTCATTCAGACTAGTTCTATTTTGAGGGTCTGTAAAAATAAAATGATAATCTGATGATTGCTCATCTGTTGTGATTTATTCAGAGCCTCAAAGTTTCCACAGGGGAATGCTCAAGGTCAACCAGCCGCTAGAGAGATATTCAAAACACTAATAAACCTTTAAAACTCATTGCTGTTTAAAAAATAGAATGTAACACACCAGGGCAGTGATAAGAAGAAAACAGATCTGTTGTGTGTGACACTCTGTGTACAGTCAATATGGGACATTGTTAAACTAATACAGACGTGTGTAACTTTTCATTTTTCCAACTCTAGTCTACCTATGTGACTGGAACTGAACATATCATTGATGGTGGATGGAGTCTCTGAAGAGGTCAAGGAATGTTTGGAAGGACAAGGAAAATTCAGCACATACCAAACATTTCTTCTTAAACAAGGGCAGCACCAGTACATCTGTAATTTAATTGTGTTAAAATTTAGAATTAAACCTCAGTATTGTTCTACAGTCATTCTACTGTGAAAGAGACATGAGCAAATGCAGAACAAAGCTGATAATTTAATTTGTAACCATCCACTTGCGTGCATGGCACTTAATGTAAACCCTGTATAATTTGTGTAACACCACTGATCTAATGTAATGTTACAGTTCATGTGTGTAGTGAGGTGTCATGAAGCCTCATAGCATCCTGCTTCCTAGTTAGTATTTTAAACACTAATCTTTATCATTGGTTAATTCCGATACACACTGAAAGAAACTTTAAGTTACTTTTTCAGAATGCTCTGTTTTCAGTTTTAATGTTATTGACTTTTTGACTGTGCTAATGATGGGAGAGAGGTAAAAAAAGCGATTAAAAAATCAAACTAAAATTACATCACTATCACAGTTAAACTGAGTTCTACTGAATTATTATTTTGTAGAAAAACCAACTTTTAAGCAAAATAGTTTTGAGTCTTTTTGGGTATGTATCAGCTTTGTACGTCAGGATTTTTAGCAAAATTGTAGTACTTAATCTTATCTGATCAATACTTTATCTGTTCCTGAAAATTAAGAAATAATGGGAATAAAGAATTTTTGTTTCATTTAGCACTTTTTATTTTATTTTATAGGAACAGACATATTTAGCAAATATGTCTACATACTCATGTCCTCAAGCAAAAGTATCGTCTCTGTTCATCCAGCCCCTCTCTACTGCACTTCCACAGATGGTTAGTGGTCTGCCAGTTTACTGTATTGATGTCAAAAGACCACTTTTTACTGGAAGTTTTGGTCCATTGCTACTTTGTGGTCCTTGTGGCGCATACAAGACAGTGTCTCCTTGTGGTGAGGTTTATAGTAGCTTGCTATTATCTTTTTTCATTGCCTTCAGAGGGACAGGCCTCCCTAATGTTTTAACTGATGGGAATGTCTTCTATCTGGGGCTCAGTTACAGTATATCTGTTACAAGACATTGCTCTGCTGCTACAAGAACAGGATGGAAAGAGAAGTCCAACTTCTGTGTTTGTATTGGGCATAGTAGGGCTAAGCTCAGTATGCAGGGGTCAAAAATGTCTGCAAGCCAGATGTTAAGGTACAGACTCAGAGGCCTCAGGCAAAGTACAGTAGTCCTCTCTCAGTCTGCACTGGCAGGTAGAGCTTCTGTTGGGGCTGGCTGCCTGCAGGATCTCCCCACTAAGATCACCCCAGGTCTCAGGATGGATGCAGTGGTGACAGCTGATTATGATGAACACTCATGTGCTGACAATGGTACATGGCACCAGCAGAATGGCCCCCAACAAAGATTCACCCTGTCCATGCAGGCAGTTGGAGAGAGGACAACAAGATGACTTTCCACTCACTCGCTGCCTGACTTCTATAGTATAAAGACAAAGTGCAGATCATGAGAGGCTGAAAACTGCACTCGCAATGTGAGTGTGATTCACATCCATAGTGGAAGAAAAGTGAAATGCATGCGCACAACAGCAGCCACCGCTAACTCAATGCAGTAATAATAAAATTCAGTCCAGTCTATATTTCTCAAAGCATACCAGGAAGTGAGGGGGATGTTTATTCCCAGTCCATCTGCTCCCAATTCATTGCCTCTTTAAATATAAGCAGCCCAGAGACCTCATCAAAGTACCATTAATGAAAGCCTTTATTTCCAATAGATAGGACTATTGAAAGTGTGGTTGTCATTTAAACATGAATTGTCTTAGCGGAAAATATTGCAAACAGAATTTATTTTTTCTCCTGCTATTATTATGGAATGGGATTAAGAATCAGGAGACTTTCAGTACGTATCTCAGCTGACACCCTGACTCATGTTTCAAGAAAGAAGCTCTTCACCTTGAATTTGTCACAAAAACAGCAGCTGTGCACACATTGGATAACACACACCGATCTTGCTGAAGTTCTCAGGGGTAAATCTATTCTTAATACATTTTCTAAATTGATTTGTTTTCACAGTGTGTCATCGATTTGTATATAACTTAACATTCTGAATCTTTAATCATTTATATCTTATGTAATTGTTCCTGAAATCTAATTGCACGTTTTGTGTGTTATCAATGCTTTCTCACAACTTGTTTTAAAATATACTTCAATGCATTGAAGACTTTGACGGTCGATTATACATACTGATAATATTCAAAGCTGTTGGAGGATTTTTCTGAAAACTAACACATTTTATTTAAAAGTAAAATACTAATGTAAATTCCAGTGAAAAAAGCAGCTAAAGAGTTGAAAATCTTTCATTTCAGTAAAAGGTCTTAAAGGAACTATTTATTTATGCCTTTGTCAGTTTGTTTCTTCCGATCATTTACAAAGACAAACGAGAATTAAACTTAATAAATACTTAAGTTTATAAATACTTATTTTAAGTAAAAGTTTGGAAAGTTAAACTGAATATTAAAAAAAAAACATCTGGATAGTCATTGTAAGGGTTGAACTTCCCACTATTTTCTCTAGTCTTCGAACTCTGAGCTGCTCATAGTTGGCCAGCAGTAATGTTCGCGTCGTTTGCTTATTGTGAAATCCGCTATTTTGGCTGGGTGCCGGTGGTTCATATTGTTAATGAAATAATGGACCGCTTCGTTATAGGAAATGAATGGGTATTTTCAGACTTATTTGTTGGTTTTATGTCATGATCATTAATATGTTATATATAAAATATGGATTTAACCTATGGTATCCTATAAAGTCTTGCCCCTGGACTTTTAACTACTGTACAGTATGTAATAGAGGACTGGCAGAAATGTAAGTACCCAACCTACAATACCTCACTTCACACACCCTTTACATGCTCTTGGTAAAAATTTGTCTTTTGATGTCGTGCTCCTTCGTCTTCCTCTTCATAAAAAAAATGTGCTTAGAGAAATGTGCCGAGTCCATGCGTGGTGTTGGTTCGTTGGGTTTTAGTCTAAAAATTTTGATTCGTTTGATTTGGGTGTTAGAGAAACCTGTAAGTATTGACTAATTATTTAAAATCATTTCAAAATAATGCAGGAATTGGAGAATAATGATAACAAGGCTTGGTTGTAGGGATTAGATTGTGAAACACAATTTCTTGTGTCCGTGATTAGTACATAGTCATTTATAGCAACAGGAGTTACAGTAACACCATGTAGAGACTCTGCCCATGAGAAACAGAAACATTGAACATAGCGGGTAATCTTTTGTGATGATTACAAACATGTCAGCCGATCACAATCGCGTTAATCTCAGCTACAGGTGCAGGATACTGTAAATTTTGTTTCTTCAGGTTTTGTTCCTTGTAAAAAAAAAATCGATTCGCCTCCTGGTGTTGTTGCGCCTCACGTGAAAAAAAAAACTGCCTTGTGGTGTTTCTTCTACATCGGATAATCGTGGTTTAACGCAGACTTGAATTTTAAAACGTTATCAAGTTTCTAACACATATGTATGTTCAGCATATGAAGTGTTCAAACAGAAGATGATATAGTCATATTGTTCATGGAGCTTTCTCATCATTTAAAAAAAAACTTAAGATTGTGATGAAAAAACTTTGCAACGTAACAACCAGTTTAGAAAAGAAAAATCAACTTTCCAGGCATATACAGTATCATCCTTGTCATTCTAAAATTAGCATCCCTCTAGTGCAAAATGTTTCCTCTGTACTACTTTTCTATGATGGTACAGTACCAGACCTGTGTCTGCACCTACAGTACCTGTGTGTGCTGTGTGTGTGGTTGCACTTGATAGCTGTCAATGCTGGGTTGTACACAGTACCCGATAGTGCTTACTGTAAATGCATGTTATATGCTTATATGATATGTATGAGTCTATGGAGTGTGAGGGAGTGGGGAATATTGTCCGTTTCTTCTGAAAAGTTTTTTTTTTTATTAAGTTTGTTGATTTTCCCCCGGTGTGGTATAGTTAGGAATGAGCTGCGTCAGGTTTGCTCTCCAGTCTGTCCACGTCCCTCGGCTGTGGCTTTTCCTGATCGCCTCCTAACTCCTAAATCAGAGTCTCGATGTTGTCGTGAACGAGGATGGTTTACCACTTACTCAAGCCTTTGATGTGCAGGACGGGGAAGCTTTGTGCGTGTAATTGTGTGTGCACCCTGTCGCTTGCATCAGTGCGTGTGATGTCTGGTTTTAGGGCCGGAGTGCACCTGTATCATTAGCTTGCGGAGTCTGCGTATCACCGTCGAATCTAATAAAAAGCGGGGACTTTGGCTTCAGTACGGTGGAGCATGTGTCTCACCGCGCTACGCCCATTAAATCAAACGGAGAAGAAAAGGCTGAGACTGGTCATAATGCCAGTCTGTATCAGAGGAGATTAGCAGCGGAACATATTGCATTAGAGCTTTGGCTCGTCTGCATTGAGCCATTTGGCGATCACAGGTTGGTCAGCAGTCAAATACCTTGTCATGTAATCTAGGGTAAATAGTACTGATTAAACATTACTCCGATGGCCAGGTGACGTTTTAATAATAATGCATTAGGTTCCTTCCTGGAGTATGAAAAGCACCCCCGGCAACCGATACATCGCTCCTTTGCATTTGAAGTCTTAGTATCACGACAGGCAATGGCCGGCGAGGATGCGGGTGACACGACCCGCGCTGAGGCGGACCAACAGGCGAGAGACTCGGCGGCAGCGGCGCTGGACTCGGAGACGGAGGTATTGAGAGTTTCGCAGTCGACTGTTGTACGAGTTTGCAAGAATTATTATACTCTTATAACAGCTTTCTTTTTTTTTCAGCGTGGACTAATCACGATACAATATTACACTATTATGTTGAATTATTCTTGTTGTTGTTAGTATAATTATGCTTATTATATTGGCTTGCACTTTGAACCCAGGGGTGCAAACGTAAAAATAAGCTCTAACTCCATTGTTAAACCATAAAGCTCTGTAATGAGTTAGTTATTTACATATTGCAGTACCTGATTTGTATTCACATAAAAAGATTCCACTTGTGAAGATGGTCTTATTTTGTTTCTGTTGTGCACAGATTGTAGGGTTTTAGAAATTAATGTTAATGTTGCTATTTAGACAAGATCTTGAAAGTCAAGAAAGAAAAGCTCTTTCTTTAGTATTTAAGTTGATTTCACAGGCCTGTTACTTTATATCATTTATGGTATTTTTTTTCTTTAAAGAGCAGGTTGTATTCTGTTTATAGCTAAAAGATAAACTGGATTCCTTTCAAACACATAGAATTAGCCAGTAGATGTATATTTTCAGAAACACGTTTACATTTTAATTCTACCTGCAGAACAATTAAGGAATTGCATGGTGGAGCAGTGGTTAGCATTGCTGTCTTGCAGTACCTAGACCCTGGGTTCAATTCTGTATCTTGTGTGCAATCTTTGTGGAGTTTGTATGTTCTGCCTGTGCTCGTATGCGTTTCCTTTGGGTCCTCTGATATTCTCCCACAGTCCAAAGACCTACTGGAAGTTTAATTGGCTTCTGGAAAATTGGCCCTGGTGTGAGTGATTATGTCTGTTTGTGCCCTGTGATGGACTGGCCTCCCATCCAGGGTGTATCCTGCCTTGCGCCTGCTGCCTGCTGGGATAGAATCCGGCTCCCCCACAACTCTGTATTGGACGAAGCAGGTTAGAAAATGGATGGATGGTAGGAAAATTAGATGAGTTATCATTATAAAACAACAAAAGCAACTTTTCCCGACTTCCCTAACCTTACCTTTGTTCTTGACAATGTTTAAAGTTTTGAGGACCATCCAGACATAGTCTTAAAAGGCATCTAATTACTGGTTAAGTTGTACCAGTTTGCCCTGCTTTAAGAAGCCCAAAAAACCTGCAAAAGCATTCACCCACTTCCAATGATGTCCCATTTTGATCATGTTGTTTTGTAGAATTACAAATGATGCCAGCATATTTTTTGCACACTGTGTAGTGTTGGTAATGCTGGTAATTTGGTAATGCTGTTAGTTTATGTGTTGGCTTATGGCACGGTTCACTTGTTGTGTTTCATTGTCAACATGATTGAGGAGTAAATACCTCCCTTATGATGGAATGTATTGACGGTGTTGCATATATGACAATTTATTAATGGGATATATTTTGTCGTTGTTGGGCTACCAGGAGGGGGAAGTAAAGAAGGCTAATATTGGGCTGAAACGTTCTGAGAGTCCTGTAGTTATAGAGGAAACTACTTTCCTGAAAGAAGGGGTGCAAAATGTTGACCAGCCATCAGCTGAACCTGTGAAGAGCTGCTGGAGACTCAGGCAGTTCTGTGCATGTCCTCCAAGAGGGATCCTCGCTTCTATGGTAACGAAAGGTACTGTTGAACTTTTTCAGGGGGGCGTCTAGGATTATGTACTGACAAATATATATATTTAATGTTTTTGCTTGTAACAAATGTCATATGTCCATTTCAGTATATTCAATTTGGTTTGGATTAGAATTTAGAATTGCTGATCTCTGAAAAATATGTACTGTATGAAATGAGTATTTTATTTTTAACTACTTCAACAACTTACCATTTCAAGAAGAACATTTCTGTAAGAACATTTAGGGGAAAAAAAGCATTAGATTAGAATTATTAATAACATGTAGTGAAAATATGCTGTAGGAGCAGAAACATTTATAACAAAGGTTCTAAAACTTATACTTCTGCCACAATGTGTTTATACTAGCCATTGAATAAAGGCTGTGTTTTTAAATGTGGCCTTCCTTATGGAGGAAAATGTTTTAAAATTTTCAACATACCCTGAATGATGTTTTTATTTGGGCTTCAAATGTTCTAAAGATTTGAGTTTCTGTCTTCTACTCTGCTACATAAATCAATCTCATAGCATTTGAGCAACAACAATGATGTGCTTCCAAGGTTTGTGAGTGTAACCATTTAATACCTTGTGAGACGCAGGTGCATTTAGTTGTAGCCCTTAGTAGAACCGTGTTATTTCAAATATAATACGAGCTTGGTTGTAGCTGGAAACTACATATCTACATATCCATAGGGACTGAGTTGGGACCATTACACCCTTTTTACTTTACATATCAGTTCACATTAAAAACAGCTTACAGAATAGAAAATCTGAAGGTCTTCATTTTTTATAATTATTGTATGCAAAAGACCCTTATGTGTATTACTTTAATCTATTTTAGTGTCTATGGCATTGCTGCTCTTTGGAGTGGTCTGGTCTATCACGGGCAAAGAGTGTCTGCCAGGTGGGAACCTTTTTGGGATTCTGACGCTGCTTCTGTGTGCTGTTGTCGGAGGGAAGCTGATGGGACTCGTTAAAATCCCTACTCTACCCCCCTTTCCTCCTCTCCTTGGTAAGTAGTAGAAAGATTCAAGTTTCTTTAACTGAGCGGAACACGGACCATTCAGAATCCTCTAACCCAGGCATCTCCAACCTGTCACTCCACAGTAAGAATAAATACTGAAGGGTTCCCATTCAAACCATATGTTTAGGATCCAGAATTTGCTACATGAACTTGTCAATGGACGAGTGCTGGCAAATATTATACAAACCCACATTTATAGTTCATGCCACTTTCTGAAAGGAAAAGAAGAAACTGTAGTGTGGGTAAAAAAAATAAGCATAACTTAAAATATATTTTAATGTCTGGAAAATGCACAGCAAATGTTGTCATTTGTCACTGTCTAACAACAGTAAGCAGTGATTAACGATTGGGTTATGGTGATTTTATGTCTTTAAGAGGCTTAAATTTAAATTTTCCTTTAACAGTAGGTGTTGACGTTTGATTAAAATCATATGTAGAATTTTACATTTGAATTTACTGTATGTAAACTACAGTACATCAGCTATGATGTTCAATAAATACTGTATATACACATACTCTAGCTGTACTAACAATACAACAATTATTTTTTATCAACAATTAAATGTTTTAAATGCTTATTAAAAACTTGCTAGTTTTCATCATCAGTGTTGAAAGCTGTTAGGACTTCTTCTTTCTTACATTGCCTTGTCTCTAGGCCGTGTTCTACCTCGATATTGTGTTGTTTGTTCAGTGTGTGGCCTTTTATGTGGTAAATTGTTCTCTGTTCTGATGGTTAAAAGCAAACACTGTGAGTATTTCACTGTATGAGACAAATCAACCTGCAGTACAAGACAAATTAGAAACTTCAAAAGAATACATACTGTACCGTAAAGGCTGGACTGGGGAATATATTGTAACTACTGTACATTCCTATTATTGATGCAAAGTCTTGAGGTAGCTTTTAACAGGAGTGTAGCAGCAATACATTAAAAAATCTTTACTCAAATAATTAATGGGCATAATTTATCTGCATGGGTGGCTTGGTTGCACAGTGGTTAGTCTTGCTGCCTTGCATTGCTGGGGCCCTGGGTTCAATTCCAGATCTGCGATGCTGTCTGTGTGGAGATTGTATGTTTTCCCCGACATGCTCCGGTTTCCTCTCACAGTCCAAAGACTTACTGGTAGGGTAATTGACTGGCCTTGCTGTGAGTGCGTGCTTGTTTGTGTCTGTGCCCTGTGATGGGCTGGCATCCCATCCAGGGTGTATCTTGTCTTGAGCATGTTGACTGTCCTCCACAACCCTATACTGGATAAGAAAATTAGTGGTATTCTGTGTGATTTCTTTTACCAGGAATTTTATACTCCCTACCATTTTTCAGCATTATATACTGTTTGTATATATTCAGTTTTGTGTATTAAAGTTAATTTAAATATTTTTTGAATGTCAAGCACAGATCTTTCTGTTGATTACTTCACTCAACTAATAGAGTCACAGTTCAAACAGTCTACAGAAGGCTTCAGTCATGTAGAATAGGTTATGTGTCTTGTCCCGCTACATGTGGTGCATTGTGTAGTTTGTAATAGTTAAAAAAACTGCATTTCAAATTGTTATAAACATAAAGAGAAAGTAATATATATGTATATATTTTGACTGCTAGTCTTTTTTTACCATAACCTTACTTTTACTTTTTAAAATGTGATATTCTGTCTGCCAGTCATATTTTAGTGCTATAACATGTTGTTTGCCAGATAAATATTTTGTTCAAGTGAGTCAGAAAAGAGAAACTGTAAAAGACACTTCCTAAATTAACAGTCACTCCCTTAATGTATTGATTTGTAAGTATCTAAACCATCAAAAAGAAATAATTCTTGTATAAACATATCAACACTTATGAGTTATTTATCTGGACATAAAAAGGAGCCATTTCAGACTGTACAAGTTTTCTTATGTTTAAAAGCAAATTTGTTTAATTGTCACAGTTGTTTTTTTCTTGCGCTTTAAAAAACTATGAATCACTCAACCACAAAGCCACTTCTCCTCTATATGTGTGTTAAAGTTTTACTTGATAATCCTTGAGGACTTTAGCCTTGTATAATAAACATTTCAATACATGCATGTGCTGTCTAGAAATCAAAGCCCGTCTGAAATTTAAATCCAGGTCGAAGTCTAGCGTAAGAAATACAAAGCCATCTCTTATTTTTCTGACCACATTTTTTAGGCCCACAGTTTTTATCAAGTGGAAGCTTCACATAAACGTACATGTCCATGTTTAGATATGTTTGCTCGCCTATATTATTATCTTTAATACTTTTATAGAACCACTTTCAGTGCTTGTGGTTTTGAAACTGTGTTTTAATATGATGCTCCATCTTGTTTTCAGGGATGTTGCTGGCTGGCTTTCTTCTCCGCAATGTCCCAGTTGTCTCTGAGGCTGTCAACATTCATTTCCATTGGTCTTCCTCTTTGAGGAATATTGCCCTCGCAATCATCCTGACCAGAGCAGGGCTAGGACTTGATCCACAGGTACAGTTGGCAAGGGCTAAAGATCTTTAAACTCCATGTGTCCTTTAATTCCTATAAAAATAAAGCACAGCGATGTTGCAGTAAAATTATGAGCCATTTTGTTTCTTATTTCTAATGAGTTCAGAAAAAAAACTCTTAAAACTGAAGAGGTCAACAGATTAAGTACAGTCTGCTCTTTTACAATTTGACCTGCATTTGTTAATGGTACAGCTGTTTGAGCTGTTTGATGAACTGTTATGTCCCTGCTATGTAGTTAACCCACTGATTGATAAAGGGTTTGACATTTTCTTGCCAGCAACCAATCAAATGAAATTCATGGTTGTGCAGATAATTTAGCCATTGGCCCCCCATTGACACAGTATGTGACAAAGTAATTTAAAGTAATTTAGAGTCATATATTGCATTAAACTGGTACTGCCACCATATGTGAAAGAGAGGTATAATGGATTGTGCAAATGTTTTACACATGGATATTAAGCAAAATCACAAGTAATGAGAACAGAAACATAGATGATTGAATCTTGGTACATTTCTGTTATGGGATGTGACACACTATCACATAAAAGTATAGCAAAATTAGTATCGGGTATGACCAATCTGTATTCATGAATAGACTATTAGAAGTTCTGTCGATCTACAGCTGCAGCTGCAGCTACTTGGTGGTCTTGGTTGTCTTCCTGTTGACAAAATTTGTGAGTTGGTCCCTCAGATGTTTACTATTGGACTTTTTCAGGCAAAAAAAGTTGGTGCAAGATCTCAGTATTGTTTTCTCAAAGTTCTATCATTGTAATCCAACCAGCCATGGTCTTCTGTTATTATGATTGGAATTACATTGACTTGCTGGATCAGAGAAACTGTTATCTTTTTTGTCATTGTTAATTACAAAAAAAGTAAGGTTGTAAGGTTGCCCACCAAAGACAATATTGTCTTAAAGGAAATTCCTCCCTATATCCTCAGAAAGGTGACTTTAGGCATAACACTCATCATGACATCTTCACACCTCGTCTTTCTTAAGAAACAATGTTCATTAATGAATAAACAACTCCACCAGGCAGTGCTGCCTAATCAGGAGGTTTTTGACCTATAATTTCATTTTTTCAGCTCTAGGTGTTATCCTTGTCTGTAAATGATTTCGCAGATGTATCAAACAGTTGTGAAAGTTCCAGGTCAGTATGGTGATACTCTGCCTTGAACCTTGCCTGTCCCCTGCAGTGCCCTGGCCTGATTTTGACAGATGCTTAGACATCTTGTTTTGATCTATTTTAACTCAAATACCATGGTAAAGGTATTTTTATAACAACAAATTTGGAGGTCTCCCACTTCATCTGCAAGATGCCACAACTAATGAGTACAGAAAGGAACCAGGCCATTGGGATGATGGTGCTGCAGTGTTGCAACATCTTAATGTCCTTCCATTTCAGGTCTGTTAGACAGTGTTAGGAAGACTGGTATCGCTTTCGATTGTCCTTTAGTATTGACATGTCGTGATACACCTCTTGTCACAGTGGCAGGATGGGTCCAGGACAATAGCTGTGGCAGATGCTCTTATTGGAACTTTGAACAAACCATTTTGCGACAGAACTATCTCAGGATGTCTGACAGACAGGTTTGCGCTGCTCTAGGCCTTATCACGGCTTACACATCAAGATAGACTTTCTAGGCAACATAAGTCAGCAAAAGGAGGTAGTGTTAGTTGCAGGAGGTGAGAAGATACTATTTGCTTTGGCAAACTGAAGATTAAAACGATTCCCCTGAGGACGACAATTTACATAAAACTGTGTTGTTGAACAAGATGGTTTTAGTAGATGTGAAGCTTCGGTGTAAGGAATATTTAATACTAAGTTCTAATCCAAACCTTTGGCTGTGGAAAATAGTGTCATTCCTCAGTGTTGTTTCAAACATGGCAGTGTTCTCTCACGCCACAGCCAGGACTTCAATGAAGTTTCTTTGAGCACACGCAGTTCCAGTGTCAGATTAACCTTCGTAATTGCCCAGCATTAACCCATTTGAAACCCAAGTGTGAGGAGTTGGGTTATCAGCATCACCACTGCTAGTCATGTAGTTGGCACTGGCCTTGCAACATTGTTATACAGCTGACCTACAAACTTATAATGTAATTTATAATGTATCATAAATGTTAGACATGTCAGAGCACAAGATCATCACACGCTTTACTTGAAATTATTCATCACTGCGTGTTTTCAGTTTTCACAAGGGTGGGCAGTGGTCATTTCGGCCGTCCCATGAAAGGTGTCAGAGGGACACAAAGTTTCATTTCTCCCCTGGAATTGTGTTTATGTGTCTATGAAATATATGTGTTATGAAGCTGGGGCAGGAGAACAATATGCGCAGGAGAGAACTGTAAATTCACGTAGCTGTGGTATAGTTTTAAAAGTACTCTCCATGAGAAATACTTGAAGGGCACAACTAGGCTTTGAATTTGTGTTCAAGTAAAAGGGTTAAAATGGAAGTGGATTGTTGAGGACGGCAGAGTTAGGAGAAACCAGTTATTGATGCCTTTAATAAAAACCTTCCCACATGCATTGCACATAAAGAGAATTTATCAGGTTGTATTTGGTACACTTTAGTGTTGTACATGTATACTGTATTTAGTAAATGTGATGACGAGTAAAGTAAAACAATGATAGGTCTGAAGGATAAGAGTGATATTTCTCGTTTGTTTTTTGATAAGTACAAAAAATGCCTCAGTGTATTATTTTATTCACTGTGTAAATACTATGTCTGAAGTAGTGGTTATGGTATTAAAAAAGCAAGAAATAAATGAGCATGACTTTAATTATTTGAAGACCTGTATTTTACAATAACCGATCTGTTGTTTAGAAGTGTCACAATCATTATAATTTTCTTGTGGTTTCAAAAAACATCAAAGGGTGTTTTACTCTTGACCGCTATGAAGTCATTTATAATAGTATGCCTCCTAGGGTTTTGTCAAATAGCCAAGACGTCTATTAGCTAAGAAGTCTGTGTCACTCAAAAGACCTATTTGTAACAATACTTTACAAGCCTTTGTCTAGACTACTGCCCAAGGACCTTTATGATTGACGAGGAGTTTCTAAAATAGTCCTTTGGAATAAGCATTTCATTTTTATGTTAAACGGATCACTAAACCAATTTAACAAAACAATTTAGTTTAGTATAGTTTGGTATATAATTATAATTTTAGTATAGATTGATTATTTATTCATACATTTTGTACCCCAAAAGGAAACATTCTTCCAGAGCTTCATTGCGGTGTAAAAATGAAAAAATCTAGTGGCAAAATGTGAAGTTACATTATATTCAATGTGTTTTCAGGGGTCCTTTTTAGCACTTATAACAGAAATCCAAGAAAAAATAAGCCCATAAACCCCATTTCACTAGGGTATTAAGTAACCCCCTGGTTTGGTTTGGCATAGAGGGGCTCTCATTAGCTCATCCTTTATAGACAGACTCATCTCTCAAACCATATTAAAGCCAAACAGCAATAAAAAAATATCGGTATTATACATACATTCCCTGGGTTTGCCTGTAACTACTGCATTTGAATGTAAAGCTTCGATCCATCTGTTTTCTAACAGCTCTATCCCATACAGGGTCACGGAGGAGCCAGACCCTATCCTGGCAAGCAATGGGCACAAGACGGGGTGCACCCTGGATACGCCAGTCCACACACAGACACAGACACTCACACACTGACAAACACTCCTAGAAGCAAATTAACTTCCCAGTCTGTCTTTGTAGCATGGGAGGAAATGGGAGCACCAGAGCAAACCCACTTGAATAGAGGGAGAACATACAAACTCCACACAGATGGCACCCCAGGTGCTGAACCCGGGGCTCCAGCACTGTGAGGCAGCAATACTAACCACTGTCAACCATGCCTCCCCAGTGCAAAAAATTGTGCTACTGTTATTTGTATTTTTGATTATTGTTAATGTTCTTTTTCAGGCTCTTAAAAAACTGAAAGCAGTGTGCTTACGGCTCGCAATGGGACCCTGTACAATAGAGGCGTGTTCCGTGGCCATCCTCAGTCACTTCATGATGAATCTGCCTTGGATCTGGGGGTTCATCTTGGGGTAAGAAAAGACAAGCCATCTTTACTTTTTTCACATGGCAAAGAAGGGAAAAGATGTTACATGGGCGGAGCCCGAATTAGTTTGTCTAGTGGACCCTATGCAGTTGTTTTTTTGAAGTCGTGGATCTGAGTATAAATAGTAACAGGAACGGTAAGTCCTATTCAGCTAAGTAAGTACTTATCCAAGAGCCGTAACTCTTCACTCTTCTGAAGTCAGGGGAGAAGCCTTGTCCAAGAACGAGAACCACATGCAGGTTAAGTCTTCAGGGAACGCAGGAAGTGTAGCTCACTAGGGTAACCCAATACTGAGCACTGAAGCTACTGCAAGTAACCCTAATGTATCCTAGAGCTGGGGGTGTATGGTGGTGAACGGAAAAGCTGATTGGGTAACTAGCCCTAAGGTCTATGCCTTCTCAAATTGACTGAGGTAGAGGTACTGTATGTCTCTGGTTGGGGGAGGCTGATACCTTAACAAAAGACATGTTTTTAGCTGTGCTTTTTTTCAGGTTTTACTATTTAGTTTCCTAAATGTGTTTTTGGCCATCATAAAATAGGTTGTAGTGTAGATTGTTTTGATGAAGCAGAAATACTGTACCATGGATTGCTTTGGGTTCAGGCGCCAGTTGGAGAAAGCTTATCAAAAGGAGGCAGCTTGTCTGAGATACACATGACCTGCACCTATCTTGTTTTTAAAGTTTTCAACTTTTAAATCTGAAGGGAAGCAAAATAAGTTACAATGAGATATAATGAGAAGCTTACACATAAGAGTCTGATGTTTTTTCCTGTATAGTGATGTAACTCATTTACACCCTCAAAGCAACTATATACACTTGAGCAGTTTATAGAATGGCAACTTCATTGATGAAAATGGTATGGTACAGTGAGAGCTACTGTATGTTGTGATATTATATCAGTGTCATATCATGTAAAACTTTTCAATTACTGTTTGTCCTTCTCAACAAGACACAGAAAATATATGGGGATACGTTTACAGTACATTTATTAAATTTGATAGCAGATTTCTGAAGAGGCTTGGTTCACAGAAGGCTTGGTTCCTGAACCATCCTCCTGTGCCTGGTGCTTCCTGAACCTGTAGTACACAATGTGCACTCCCAGACACGGCACAGTCCCTTAGGAGCATCACCCTGACTTAAAGCCGTCCCATGTCCAGGTTTGTTTTAGGCGCTGTGTCTCCAGCTGTGGTGGTCCCCTCCATGTTGCTTTTACAAAAGCAGGGTTACGGCGTTGAGCAGGGCATTCCCACACTTCTGATGGCGGCGGGCAGCTTTGATGACATCCTGGCCATCACTGGATTCACAACCTGTATGGGGATGGCATTCTCTACCGGTAAGGACAGCCCAACACTGATTTCACACCCTGCAAAATTTCAAATATGTTCCAGCACATAGAGTATGGTTTTGGTTCTGTTCTTCATGCCACAGAAGGCATAAGCCCACAAAAAACTGCACATATCTTCCAGAGTAATTACTTTTGCATTGGGTTTCTAGAATGTAAACTAAAATGCAAATAATTCCATTTTTATTAGAAAATTCCCATTCGGTGTAGAGTTTCAAGAAAATATTAAATGTGACAACGCCTAAGACTAGATAACTAAACTAAAACTAAATATTCTTTTAAGAATATGAAGAAGAGTGAAATACATAGGAGCTGATGTTCTCTTAACATGTGCACTTTTCTCAGAGGCATTTCAGTACTAGTTAAAGAACCTCTCTCGTTATTGCATCAATTATATTGTAAATGGAATTTCATTAGTGAAAGAACGTTGCCGTTAATAATAAGGTACACACGAATATTGAGCCACCAGCACCATTATACTGTACCTCAGATAGAGTAAATTGCTTCACCAGTTAAATTAACGGGATATATTAAGAAGATTTTAGATTTTACAAGCCCTGAGTTAAATTTATCTACACCCCTACTCATACTAACAATGCCTGTACTGTCCAGGTAGTCGGGACCTCGATTTAACATCTCATTTCAAGGACAGCGCCCCCTGTTGCACAGTGTCCCCAGTCACCAGGCTGGTTAGGAAATTCTGGTTCAGAGAGGTCATAGGGTCTGTTCTGCCAATTTAAAAATAACTCTAATCTCCTCAGCAAACCTTTTTTTTAAATCATTAAATCATAGGTAAAAGTATTGTGGTATTGTGGCTATTAGTTACATACTAGAGCAAAAAGCTCATTTGTTATAGTTATTACAATACCTTGAGTCAGATTTATAGAAGAGGGATACCTGTGATTGCTAATTTTTGGTATATTAAGGGAACATGAGATTAAATGTTAATAATTTTAAAGGAGAAAAATACAAATTAAACAATCAAAAAGCCAGCCTTCCAATAATATTAAAAATATCAAAATAATGCCGTACCGTATGTTGCACCAGACACAATAAAATCACAAGCAAGCCTGACTCTCTATATTAATTTTATATTCATGTTATCTGTTGTCATTCATTAACAATTTTAAGATAAATGCCACACATACAGACAATAAAAAATAAAGTATTATAACTTATTCAGAGATTGTAGTTGC